CAGACATGCCGCTTCTTGAGAGATACCTTCTGTTGACCTCCACCTCCACCCATTAGTAGTCACTATAAGGTACAGTGGTGCTGATTATATCAGGGTCCTCTTACATTCCTGTTATACCGCTTTTCTTGGGTAGGGGGGTCCATCTAAAAGATACTACTTTCCAAAGTCCCTTGCCCCTAACTCAGCAAATCAAGAATAAACTAAATGGTCCTGCGGCAGCCAGGCTCCAAAGCCAGAGGTATTCATCTAGCCTCAATTGACTGCTAGTAGGGAATGAGGGAAGGCAAAGGAAATGGAAGCTACTATAAATGCGTCCGCGCTCCAGGTTCTCAACCTCCCCCCCCCAAAAAATAAGCCATATCTAAAACCCCTAACCATGAATTCCGCAAAAACCTATATACAACCTTCTTTCAAGCCGTTTGTAAGCCCTCACCACAGGACCCAGACCACAGGACCACAGCACAGGACCAAGCAGGGGGGTACCTTCATGGCGTAAAGGGTTTGTGAAGGCTTCATAGTCTTTAGTGGAAGCTTCTGTCATAAGCTTCCACTACATGACTATGAAACCTTCACAAACCCTGTAAGAACCCTCCGGAGAACTATTTAACCTTTGAAAATCCATCTGTAAAAGCCAAAACCCCTTTGAACCCTGTATAAAAGGTTATACCAAACTTTTAATTAATTAGCAACCCTCTAGAAACAATCTATGCTTATAAGATCTGTGTAAAACTCTGCAAACCTTCAGGAACCCCTTCAGTAAGTTTGCTGGGACCTCTAAGCACATGCTATGAGATTAATGAGCAGTCTGCAAACCTTGATTAAACCTTATAGAGCCCCTTAATAAACACGACAAGCTTCTGTAAACGTAATTTAGACCTTTCAATTACACCACCAAACCCAGACCACAGGAACAGGGTGGGGGGATCATATTCTATATCATGGACATCATTGAACATTGGGGGTGGGGGAGTGCATCAATGCTGACGGCTGCTGACGCATGTACGGGTCATATAGGTGCTGCTATAGGGAGCCATCCATTCTCCTAGCATAGGCGAGAGCAATTCCTATGATCATTTGGGCGCTTAAACCCTGAACCCCCTTCTTAAAGATTAGCCTTGCGAAGAGGTGGGCTATGAGGGCCAAGCTAAGTCTGAAGCGCTTCGCATTGCTCACCAACAGCGGGCACCTAGGACTGGCTTTTAGGGCTGAGTTTTTAGGGTTTCAAGCTAAGAGTTGTGTATTGTGTTCGGGTTAAGGGCTCAAGGACTAGAGATCAGGGTTCGGATTCCAAGGCTTTAGGTCCGAAGTTCATTCTTGAGGTTCCCAGTGAGTGGCGGATCTAGGTGTGAATCCTTTGCAATGGTGAGTTTGTTTGGTGACGCATCTACACACATGTGTATCTGCATGCAAGTATACATGCGTATGTCATTGTGTGTTGACATTCTACGTAGTAAGTATATATATGCTAACCCCCCCCCAGGACCAACCTTTCAGTGTTCCAAAATTCCAAAACTCCAAAAAAATCCAGTCAATTTTTTGGAAATTCCGAAATTCCAAAAGGGAACTGACTATTGGAAT